TCCCAAACACTAAATCCGTGAAGAAATACCAGCGCTCCGGAAAAAAAAGGCCACTGTTTTCCCTTCCCAAACACTAAATCCGTGAAGAAATACCAGCGCTCCTGGAAAAAAAGGCCACAGTTTTTCCCCTCCCAAACACTAAATCCGTGAAGAAATACCAGCGCTCCGGAAAAAAAGACCACTGTTTTCCCCTCCCAAACACTAAATCCGTCAAGAAATACCAGCGCTCCGGAAAAAAAAGCCAGTGTCTTCCCCTCCCAAACACTAAATCCGTGAAGAAATACCGGCGCTCCGGAAAAAAGGCCACAGTTTTCCCCATCCGTAAAGACATACCAGCGCTCCTGGAAAAAGGCCACCGTTTTCCCCTCCCAAACCCTAAATCCGTGCAGAAATACCAGCGCTCCGGAAAAAATTGCCACAGTTTTCCCTCCCGAAACCCTAAATCCGTGAAGAAATACCAGCGCTCCGGAAAAAAGGCCACAGTTTTCCCTTCCCAAACACTAAATCCGTTCAGAAATACCAGCGCTCCGCGCCTCGCCGGAAAAGTGTGGTTCGGTTCGGGGGCCTCTTTCACCTCGCATGGAGCTCCAGGAGCTTCTCGGGTTTAGGGTTTAGGGTTTAGAGTTTAGGGTTTAGGGTTTAGGGTTTACGGTTTAGGGTTCAGGCTTTCAGAGGGCGCCATCGATGCCCAGGAGAAGGGTTTACTCCCTCATTTTGCTGGATTTTTTTGGATAGAAGGCCAAACCTCCACAACCCGATGAAAACGAATCCTAAAACCCCAGGCCCAAAAACAGCTATGCAAGAACCGTATAGGCTTTAGAAGACTCCTGCATGCTGTCAGTACCCTGTCAAAGATCAGCTCCTGGGAGATCTCCGGATCGTACTGCCAGAGCTGCGGCTCGTACCTTGCTTTGGCTCAGACAAAGCCCAAGAGGGTTTGGGGTTTTGGTTCGGGTTGAGCATGTGCAAGAAGTTCGTGAAAGAAGGGCACGGACAGCCTTGAAAAAACGCCCTGAACTGCTTGATGAGCCCACTCTGAAGGCCGCCTCTGCTGGTTTCTTCGTTGGTTTTGGGGGCGCCACGTTCCCTATCGATCCCTCTCTCAAGGCCTTCCAGTCTCCCCTGAACCTGCAAGTAGCTGCGAGTTTAGGCTGTACACAACTCCCATGAAACCCGACAAAGTCCCCCCCCTCGCTTCAAGGACTGCAGAGCCTGGAAACCCGTGAACCCTAAACCCCAGAACCCTTACAGGAACCCTTAAAGGAACCATTACCCTCCTTATAGAACCCTTAACCGGAACCACTTTCGATTGGACTCCCAAGGAGCCCAGCGCTCTTGAGGCGGACCATCATCCGCTGCACGCAGGCGGCCACGGCCACGTCGTCGTTGCCGGGCTGCAAAGGGCGGTCGGCGCTGAGAGAAAGGAGTTCTTTATAAAGTACTTCTTTCACAGCTTGGAGGGTTTAGGGTTTAGGACACGAGCTTTAACAGGATTTGAGAAGGTTCTATAGGGGCTTCTAGAAGGGATCTCGTCATTAGGCAGGTTTTTCATGGCTCGTCGTGAGTTTCGGCTCAGACCCTACTGACATGACTCAAGCCCCTAGACTCCACACCCCCCCCAAAACCCGGAAATCCGCGCATGTAAACTTTGGGGCTGATAAACCCCCCGCAAAACCCTGTAGTTTCAGTTTGGGGCGGGCGGAGTGGAGGGCCCTGGACCCGAAACCCCAAAGCAAAACACCCGAAACCCGAAACCGGAAAGCACCCTAGGTCTTACAAGCCTCATGCACTGCAACCCAGAGCCTTACAGAAGAAACCGTGCACAATGCCCAAGAAAAGGAAGCCATTAAGAAGCAGCATTGTCCTGGAAAGGCAGCCGTTCCCCAGTGGAAGGGTCATCCACAGTACTCGTGGGGACGTGGGTGATCACACCTTCTCAGGGCTTCAGAGCTTAAAGCTCTTTAAGGCTTCTATGCAGCTAGAAAGCTTCGTGGCTTCAGGGCTTCAGGGGCTTGGGGATTTGAGGTTTGAAAGGTCGGGTTGGGGGCTCCAGACTGTAGGCAAGGCTGCAGGCTCGACATTCTTGGCAAAATGCCTTCTGACAATGTGCGCCGGCTCTCCTTCCTATGACCCAGAATGACAGACTGAGTTTGACATTCTCATTGGGGTCTTGTATTACAAACTATATAGATTATGCTCAGTGAGAAGAAGAGGCTGAAGATGAACAGAACTCAATACAAAAGCAGCCTAAGGAGGCCCTGGCTGAGCTTTCGGGCCAAGGCGCCGTCTCGCTTTTGCCACTTGTCCACTTTGGCGGCACCTGCCTCGTCCCCGGCTAAGGCGCAGGACCTCTCTGAATTGGCTTGGGTGTCTAGCAACACAACTGCAATGCTTTGTAACAGGGTTTCGCAAGCCTTGTGAAACGCCGTGGTGAACATAACCCGAACAACTTCCTTCCACTAGCATGCATGCGGGCGTCGAAAAGGTTCTCGGGGGCAACCTTTCAGGATTCCTTGGAGCCCCGAAAACACGGAGGTTCCCTTAAAGAGGTGGAGAAGAAAATGCCCCAAAAAACGGCTGCCGAGGGGCTGGCGGGCAAGCGTGTAGCACGCAGACTTCACGGGGCCCTGGAGCCTGGCTTTCTTCCTGAGCCCGGACCGAATTTTTTTTGAGTTCAGGGCCCTAAACCCTAAACCCTAAACCCTAAACCCAGGAAGTTTGGTGGAGTTTTTTTTTGAGTTTAGGGTCCCGGACCCAGGAAGTTTGGTGGAATTTGTTTTGAGTTTAGGGTGTAGGGCTCAGGCCCCTTCCTCAACAGAAGTGGATGATCCCAAATATGGGCTCTTTAGGTCTCCGTCGCGATGCGCGGACACGCTTCCAGGCTTTCGGAGGCTTCTTGGTTCCACAGTTTAGGGTTTAAGGTTTAGGTTTTGGGGTTTAGGGTTTAGGGTTTGGGGTTTAGGGTTTCGGGAGTCTTCTTGGTTCCACAACCGACCGAGTTTCAGAGGAGCTCGAGGTCTCCTCTCGGATCTTCCGTTCTTGTCTCACCATCTAATCATAGGCCCCATAGTAGTTCCTTTTCGGGGTTACCTTATAGGATTCTATATATGAAGGTAATCCTTCGGTTGGAAGGCTAAGGGCTTTGGCTTTGTCAGCATTGTCTTGGGAAATGCGCAGGAAGCCGAGCTTCAGGACCTGCAGCGCGCAGCGGTTGTCCAGGGCGGCCCGGCAGCCGGAGAGGATGCTCGTGTAGCCCTCGATGGGCAGAGCCACCTTCGGAGGGGGAGGCGGAAAGCCTTTCTAATGGGGTGCGGGTCTTTGGGGGTGAGGGATTGGGGGTGTCGGGTGGTGTTAGGGCGTTCAGGAGAGTTTGGTTTCGAGGCAATAGGTTTAGGGTTTTGGGGGAGCTACCTAAGCTGGGGCTCCGAGGGTTTAAGATTTAGGGCTGAAAATCTGAAATTTCCCACCTTCTCGTTGGCCTCCTGGAAATGTCTGACGGCCTCCAGCAGTTTGCCAGCCTTGCTATAGACTGCGATGATAGCGCAGTGGGTGTGCTCGTTGGGCTCCACCTGAGAAGGCACCAAGACTTTCAATCCTCACAAGCCGACAGGAGCCGGAGGCACCCTAAACCCTTTAAACCCCTATGAACCTTGAAGCGTCCCTGACTTTGATCGAGCTCTGCCTGGTCCTGCTGCATCAGGCGGATGATGGTCTCAGCACCAGCAACATCGCCAGCTCGGGCACACTGCGAGATCGCTGCAGTGTAGAGGAAGACGTCGGGGTCCACCTCTCCAAAAGGATCCCTCATTTTTAGGGCTGCTTCTGATGGGATGCAGGGGTTCCTGAGCATGGGATCGGCGCTGGCACCTCAAAGCAGTCTGAGGTACGAATAGTCTCCCCCCCAAACTTGAAAAGGCCCCTGTACTGTTTTCTGAAACCTAAGCGGAGGTGTGCTGCTAAAACATGATAAGCAACGATGCCCTGCTTGCCGGATGTCAGGATTCCAGGCCAGAGCTTCAGGATCAGCCCCTCAATCACGGGCGTGAATCTGAATCAAGAATTCCACCACTGCCGGGAAACATAGGCCTCTGCCATCATCAAAGAACCGGAGATCCACACCCCGAACCCGGAACCCTGCAGACCCGCGTGAACGGATCCCGGGCACTCCAGCCCGTCTTTCCGAGAGCCCATACTGAAAGTTCCTGCTTGGTGGTATGTGGTTTTAACAGGGGTCGACAAGCTGGAATGACTCAGTTGCGGTTAGAATCAGCTCTGAGTGCAGTCAACCGAGTTGAGTTGTTAGTCGACTAGGTCGTCAGAAGAAAACGACCGTCTCTGGAATTTTGCACCTTGTAGACCTCGCGGACACTCTCCATGAGAAGAACCACGGCACCTGAGGTTGTGGCAAAGCTCGCAAGAGTGGCAAGAGCATATCGCAAAATCACTGCTGACGCATTTAACAGTGCACACGCGGCAGGTGCCCTGCGACCAATACATACCAACCCACTCCCTGGGTAGTTAGGGTTCTTACTACGAAGTGTGTAAGTTGGGTTTGCAGTACTTCAGATTCAATCACCGAAACCCTGACAAACAAAACCCTTTACCAAACACGAGCGAACCTGTGTCGTTTGCGAAGCCAAGGGCCGTCACCACCTGGTGGAAAGATGAGCTCGGTAAGGTTTTGGGGTTTTGGTGTATTGCAGATGTTCGGGTTCAGGGTTTGGTGGCGGAGTGCCCTCGCTTTGTGCCAACGCGCCCGAACCCAGATCTTCCAAATCAAGTGCTTCCACAGCACCGGTTGGTTTTTCACCTATGAACATCAGCATCTTAAGTCGTGCTGTTGTGATTAATGCACTGCTCACTCGTTTCTAGCACCATGAAGACTCGCATCGCCGCTTTCCCTTTCGATCACCACTACAGGATGCTGGCCGCAGGCCTGGACGAGGAACTGGCAATCCAGGGTCAGCTCGCAGCTCTTGGCCAGCTTCAGCACCTCGCACTTTGACCTAAACCCACTCGGCGCCTTTCGGGGGTTGCGGGAGGAGAGGTGAAGAGAGGGCTCAGGGCTTGATCTTTGAAAAGTCGTCAGAGTTTCGGGCGAAGCCGTAGTCTCAAACTCCACGCTAACACACTTTGTACAAACCAGAAACACTCCCCTGACGACCGCTGAATTTTGAAAACCCTGAACATGCCGAAATCATCGTAGGCGACCACAAGACTTGTCCCTCGCAACCTCCCAGGTCCTGTTCGTCGCGGCGCCCGCGCGTCGGAGGCAGCCGAGCATGCTTGTGAGCACCTCTTCGGAGACCACAACACAAACTTACAAGGGTTCAGAGTTCTCCAGAACGGGCCCCCTGGTACCAAAAAGCCGGGACATATGAAACATCTGTAGGCTCTAGAAGCCCTTTAGAGTCAGAAGAAGAAGATCATTCTCCATACCGTGACCCTTGTGTTTTCTCCAAACTGCGCAAATAGTCAAAGGCCTCCAGGTTGGGCGTCAGCCCCTGCCAGTCGAGCTCCCCCAAAAGCTCCTCCACCACGGAGGCGTCCGAGCAGCCTGGAAGGAGGCAAGGAGGCTTTCGGCTGTCGTTTCCATTTTGACCAGTTCCTTTTAAGGGTGCTGTAAGGCTTCTATAGGTTCCTAGTTGTGTATATGGGCTTCGGGCTTAAAGGGTCGGAGATCAGGATTGTCAGGCTCGGGGCTTCGGTTTCGGTTCCAGCTCAAAGTTTAGGGCCTCGAGTTCGGCGAATTCAAGTCTGGGTCAGGAAACCCGGAGCTCTAGCTTCGAGCATCGCGCTTCCGCCCAACACCCGAACCTGCAACCACAGAGCCTTACCGGATGACTTTCTAAGTGAATTCTGGGCTACTTCTGGCTCAACAACCACTTGCTTAGTTCGCGGCCGCTGCAAGTACCTCAAAACCCCACGCCAGAGAGCCCTCTATAACTGCCAGTCGAGAAGTGTCACAACCTAGGCCTGCTCGAACCTGCTGAACCCTTCGAGAACTCCGAGAAGCCTATACGAGATCCCCCCTCTCCCCTCTGCCTTGCAGCATCGTGCTCATTAGCTGCAGATCCGCCTTCACTTTGCTCCGCTGCAGGTGGTTCCACAAAGCCCAGAGGACCGTCTGGGGACCTCCGCCTCAGACTTTTGGCTGAGTGGGATCTAAGAAGGATGCTTACAGGGAGTCAAGACTTCTGGAACGCAGTAGTGGGATCCTCCCTACCCAGGAGAGACACTCAATACTTTGGGGACGCCAAACCAGAAGTTGAGGTCTCCGAAGTAGGAAGAAGGTTTCGGATGTGGGACTGTAGACTTGAAGATAAGCGGAACCAACATCCTGAATCTCAACAACCCAGAACCGTCAGATCCCGTTGAAATGAGAAAGCCGACTGTGCAACCTAGATTTCTGCCAAAAGGTTACTTTAATTCAACCAGCTTTTCCCGCCCTGAACCCTGAAGCCTAAACCACCGTCAACCCCACCTTTGACCACTGCGTCGAAGAGGGCCGTGTAGGTGTAGCGGTTTGGCTGCAGGTGCTCAGGCAGCTGGCTGAAAAGCTCCAGAGCCTTCCGGTACGACGGGGGACTTAACTAAGGGTTTAGGGTTTAGGGTTTAGGGTTTAGGGTTTAGGGTTTAGGGTAGACTCCGTGATTACGGATTTTAGAAGGGCTTTGGGGTTTTAGTATAGAGGCCTTCAGGATTAAAAGAGGGTCTCGGGGTATGGAATACGCTAAGTTCAAGGGATTTATTAGAAATCCCTGGAGATCCTGACCTGCCCCCGCAAACTCCCTAACAGCTGAATCCACCAAGTGCCTTCGGCCATCGCCCCACGCGACCGGCCACCTGTTCGGGGGCCGGGGTTGAAGGAGGTTTGGGACGGCTGGGTCGAAGGCAGAGACCTCCCCGGGGTTTAGGGGCATGAGGCTCGACGTCTGCTCAGGTTTGCTCAGGTCTAAACCCCTAAACCCGTAAACCCCTAGACCCCTAAACCCCTAAACCCTAAACCCCTAAACCCTAAACCCTGAACCCTAAAACCCTTAATGTTTCGGAAACGCCGTGGGGTGCACCGGTGACACCTGGGCTGAGGGCCTTCACTGCCCGTTTCTAACTGTGGGCCTGTACGGTAATATCCCGTCAGATCCTCCACACACACAGATCCTCCACGCTCCTCCCGGACCCTACGAGGGAGAAGGCCACTGACTAGGATGAATGAGGTTGTCCAGCGAAGGAAACCTGTAGTTTCTCAAAGCTCTCTATTACTTCTAGCTTTCTGTCAGAAGATGGTGGTCACCACGCGGTCGCAAGCGACACGGCCCAAGGGGGTGCCTTGAAGATGCCGTTGTAGGTCGAGAGGGGCGGCTTGCAGCCCCCCGGGAAGCGACTCAGCGCCGTGCACGCCGCCTCGAAGGCCTCTGGATCGACTCGTGGATCCAGCCAGGCTTTCGTCTCGCTCACTTCAATCATGCGTGTTTCTTATTTTTCCAAGTGACTGAGTATGTACTCTGAGATCGATACAAACACACGAACAAGAAGAAGAACAAGCACCAGCTGCAGCAGCGATGAAGATGATCAGGATAAGGACGGTCAGGATATAAAGGTAGCCAAGCCAGGAAGATTATGATGATGACTACTACGACGACAAGGAATATGCCTTAAATCGTAGCAGTCATTTGTTTAATCTCGAGCCGTCTTGGGCTCTCCGAAACCGGTAAGCTTTCACCCCACAGCCTCGGGCGTCTGCTGCTGGCAAGCGAGGGCGATGGCCTTGACGAGCCCCTGGCCACCAACGGCCCGGTCCTCGTCAAGTGGGAACCGTCGACTGACACAAACAGTGCAAGCGTCTTCGGTTTTTGGCTTAGGTGTAGGGCGTAGTGCTTTTGGGAAGTCCTGATAGGAAAGATTGGTTCCCCGGAGTCATAAAGAGGATTCTACTAGTGTCCATCCGCGGTCATATTAGGATGTGGAGCGTACCGCTTGTGCGGTCCTGGTAGTTAGGACCGCGGTATGGGGTCAAACTCTGAAGTTTTCGGAGGCACAGCCCGCTTAATCTCGGTTTAGGGTGTAGCTTCAAGCGTAGCGAACAGGATGACACTTGCTGCGAAGAGGACTGCTCCTCAGCGCAGAGGTGTCCCGATCCAAACGGCTTCAAGAACAGCAAGAATCCGCCCCAAAGCGCCAGGATCCCTGTCGTCACAACTCTCGAGTGCAAATTAGATGCCAGTGAACATGAACGCCCCCATAACATTGAAAGGACTCTACTGTAATCATGACTCGGCAGGGTCTACCCTTGCCTTGCCCAGCACCTTCGCCACCGCCGGCCAGCCCTTGCCCAGGGCTTGTGCCAAAGGGCACTGGGCCCCCAGCCGCTTGGCTGCACCGGACACGAAGGCAGACCTTGTGACTTCGGTACGTAGGCTCCAGAGCCGTCAACAGTTGCGGGGTTTCTTTGCCGGCTGCGGCTTCGGAGCTAGCGAACCCCTTGCTTGGAAGATGGCGAACACTTCTGGGATAGGTGCCTTATAGGACAGCTGCGGTGCCTTACTTGTCTAGGGACCTAGAAACACCTATCAAACCGTTCCACAACCCTGCAACTCCCAAAACCCTGATAAGAACCCTCCATAGAAACCTACGCACAGAAAAAAAAAAAAGAGACCCTAAAAAAGACTACCTAAACCCTAAACCACTAGAATCCCTAACCCCAAAACTACCTAAACCCTAACCCCTAAACCCCTAAATGTCGCCGAAGGGGCAGGTTCGACACCGAGGCGGGGCGGAGGCTTTCCAGGAGCTCCCAGGCCGCGGTCTCCGGCAGCCCAGCCAAGGCCCCGATGGCGCTGGAGTCCAAGTCCCCAAACGTCCTGAATTATGGGGAGGGGGGGGGGGGGGGGGGNNGTTTCGGGTTTAGGGTTTGGGGCGTCCGGGTTTCGGGCTTTAGAGTTCAGGTTCTAGGTTGTCGGACAGGTTCACTTTCAGGGGTGCTTACTTTCCAAAAAGGTTTTGTGAGGGGAGCTTGAGATGGGCCGCGGGACTTTGCAAACGGTGACTGCAAGGCTTCCTTCCGCAAAGGAAGCTTCCTGCAGAAGCTTCCGAATTGGGCCCCCTCCAAACTGAAGCTCAGCTCAGGGTAGCTGCAGCTATCAGCTGTCGTAACCTCAAGAAAGCTGCGTGTTCTGACTGCACCGCAAAAAAACTCTGAAAGCAACAGACCGAATGCGAAGCCCGACCTGGCCGCAGACCCCAAAGAGACCCAAAGCAAAAAACGCAGGTCCAGTGAAAGTTCAGAGCCGCAAGCCAAACCCCTGTGGAAAAAGCACGGAGAGCTCCGGAGATCAGCGAAGGCTCCAGCCCGAGCCCGCGAGCTTGGCCTCCAGCGCCTCCCGTAGGGCCGGAGGAAGAGCGGACCCGAAGCTGTCGCCGACGCCCTGAGCAGGCAGGCTTCGGCCGAGGCTCTGTTTTGGGCATATGTAGGGTTAGGTTTCCCGGTTTTGGGCAGAGGTGGGGTTTCCCGTTTATGCCTTCTACAAAGTTCTAGAAGGGGGGTTTAGGGTGTAGAGTCTCTGTGCCCAGCCTTGATGACGGTGGAGCAGTATCTGTTGATGTCGCGCACCCTGGCGCCTTCTTCGAAGACCTGAAAACACTCCGCAAAAGAAGTGCATCACCTAGAAAATCAAGACAGATCGTCGAGGTGAGCTGAAGGGGCTGGGGTTTAGCAAGAGAAACACCAACGCTGATAAGCGTGGTGGCTTTAGTGATGGAAGCGACACAACCCAAAGAGGGCTTAAATATAGAAGCAGGTGACTCGCCCTGTCTCCCGCCTTCCGCAAGCGCTCGAAGCAGACCTCGCGCGCCCCGGCGCTCAAACCCGCGAAATCCAGAGCCACGCGGCCATCGACGCCCCAGTCCTCTGGAATGTGGGACAAAGAGGGCCCACAGCTCATCTTGCTGAGCCTGCTTGCTGGATGGAAGCAGCGTTTAAGTAAGATACAAGAGACCCGCAAGCTTGAGCTTTGCGGACAACCCAACAAGACACAGACAGAGTCAAGACACGGAAAGGCTGGAGAGCCGATTTCCCCAACTTACATCTGTTTACGATGTGTATCTGTGTTTATGTATGTGTATATACATGTACCCACTCAGCCCTTTCCTGTTTGTATTTGCATATGTTACTTACACTGCTTACCTCCTCCTACATTTATGCCTTCATCCCGCGAATGAGTGAATGAACGAAAGAAGGAAGGAGGGAAGGAAGGAGAAAAGGAATAAATCTGATTGGAATCCAGGACAACGCATCCGACAAGGCTCAGCCGGGAGCTCGGAAGGCACCGAGGTCGCCTGGCGCCGGCGCTTCGCGGAGGGCGAGGTCCCCTCTTCCGGGCTTTCGCCTCCGAAAGCTTTGGGGTTCAAGATTGGGGGCTGTAGGAGCTTAGGGCTTCGGGGCCTTAATATTTGCAATATGGGTTTGGGGGTTCCTTATTATGACTGTAGTATTATGATATACCCCAAAACCCTATTCTAAATATTAAGGGCCCCTATATTGGGGTTCAGTAGTATTAGGGGCTGCTTTCAGCGGCCTCGGAGGCTAGAGGAGGTTCAGCCATAAGGGTTTTTATAGTCAAGAACTTCAAAACGGGTTTCATTCGCGTGCTGTCAGGATTCAACAGGACTTCTCGGGGCTTTTGTCTTAAAGGGCTCTTGGTTCGGCTTAAAGGTTGACGACTGTCGGAGTTTGGGGTTGTGGGTTGTGCGCTGCTCTGTTGGTTTACTCCCCATGGCTCATGAGGAATCCATAACTCGCACAAGGCCCGACCCTGAACCGAAGCACTGCACCCCCAGACTTTGAAACTAAAACCCTAGAAAGCTTGGTAGCTATGGCGATTGCAACGGTTGTTATAGACTTACACCCTGAAAAGAGCTAACAACTCAAAGAGGCCCTCAAAAGAAGCCCCTAACCTTCAACCAAAAAAGAGGACGGCTCCCTTCGCCCCAAGGCGCAGGAGAGCCACAGCTCCTGCATTTGACCGTCCTTCAGGGAGATAACATGTATCTCCAACCATGCATGTGTACATGAAGAATGCTTATATTTATATATATATATATTAGCATATATATGTATGTATGTATGTATGTATGTATGTATGTATGTATGTATGTATGTATGTATGTATGTACGCATGTAGTTCGCGTAGATGATATGAAACCTTCCGGCTGGCCTTCTGGATTGTCTTATTCCCCTCATGAGTATGGCAAAAAAGAACATCGAGAATCTTACAAAATTCTGTAAAGGTCCCCTTAACAACCCTGTATCAGGCGTGCTTGAAGCAACTATTTCTTGTTTTGATTTCCTGCATGGATTCGGGTAGAAATTAGAAATCTACAGAAAAGCAAGTGAAAATATAAGAGCAACATAAACCATTAGAGCAATAACTAACTGCGATAGCACTAGTCAGAAAACCATTATTTTATGATATATAATATTATACAATCTTACGTTATATCGAATTATGTTTGATTGTATTTTAGTATCTTCGCTTTAACCATACTAAGCAGACAACTCCTCAAGTCCTGGGGTCGGAAGGACGCGTCCAAAGGGCTCGGCCGGGCCCAGCGGAAAGCACAGAGCCTTGGCGCGTCGTGGCGAAACCGAGGAGAGCGAGCAGGGTTCAGGGTTTAGGGTTCAGGGTTCAGGGTTTAGGGTTTGGGGTTTGGGGTTTAGGGTTTAGGGTTTGGGGTTTGGGGTTTGGGGTTTACGGCGCGGGGCTTGGGGTTTGAAGCCTAGAGTTGAGGTCGGAGGAGTACGACGATTTGGTCTATACTGCTTCGCAAAGGGGCAGGGCTCCCTGCAATTGTCTAGAAAGGATTCAAGAGGCTGCGAGGTTCCGGATTTCGGACCTAAACCCCCCAAAGCCCAATGCAAACCCCCAAAAAAAAACCTGGTAAAACTCTTAAAACCCTTCGGGGGTGGGTAGGGAGCCCCTCTGCTCTCCCAATCTTGCAGGTGTAGGCACATGACTGTTTATGCCATACAGGTGCACACGCAGGTTTTAGGGTTTAGGGTTTAGGGTTTAGGGTTCGTTCATGATCTTCTGGTTAAGCACGACAAGTTCAGATAACACGGGACCCTTAACACCAAAAAAGGATCCTTGTTCTGAGGATACCTTGGCGCTTTAATACACCCCTTAAGACCCCTGTATAGTAAATATAGACCTACAAAAACTGAAACTTCCAAGGAGACCTTTTTTCTAAGCACGATGTGTGAATGAAAGTGGCCCAGGCGCTGCGTGGAGGGCTCCAGGGGTCCCGGCAGCAAACTCAGGGGTGGCGAGCTGGCTTCGGCTTTACCTGCAGGGCTTCGGAAACCTTAAGGCCGTCTCAGAAGGCTTTTGATAAGATTCCAGAAGGGCTCCAACTATCACGTTATAGGGGTTGCTATCGGCTGTGTGAGGACTGTGGATTTTGGAAGGGCTTGAAAGCAGCGTGCGAGGGTTGCGAGAACGTTTGACAAGAGTTTTCCAAAATTGTTTAGGATGTGCTTTGTGTTTCTGCTAGGGTGGGGGTCAAAATTCACGTTAGGGCGTGGGTGTCCTCTCTCGTTGAGGGCAGCTTAAGGTTTAGTGCCTAAGATTTAGAAGCTTGTCATGGGGTTCCGAAAATAAGGTTGCTGGCTCAAGGTGAATGTGCCACACCCGTTTCATGACTTGAGGGTAGTCCGGTAAAAATCATATTCATCGATCTTCGATAGGGTTGTCTGTGGGCCCTAAACCCTAAACCCTAAACCAAAAAACCCTAAACCCTAAACCCAAAACCCTAAACCCTAAACCCTAAACCCTAAACCCTAAACCCTAAACCCTAAACCGTGCGACCCCAAGAGCTGCCCAGATGCTGGCCACGAAGAGATTCAAGCTCAGTCGTGGACCGCACGGGGAGTGCTGCTCTGGGACGCCGTGGGGCACGCCCTTGTCGATCCTTCCGGGATGAAGGGCTTGGGGTTTAAAGCATCAGAGTTCGAGGCTGAGTCGTAAGCTGACCCGAGAGCTCTTCAGAGCCAGGACTTCACACTCAAAACTTTTCCAAACCTTCAAGACGAAGAATCGGGGAAATGCGCGGAACATAAACACCCCCGAAACCACCGATTGATTTTTCCATGCAACTCCTTCAAGCCCAAAAAGCCCAAGCGCCTAAAACGACAAAAAAAAAATCAAACCCAGGCTGCCCTCAACTCAAGCACACCCTCCTCACGGCACGGCCCTCGGGCAAAATCAGCGCCGTGTCCCCCAACAGCAGCGGCCGCTCCGTGCCCAAGGCCAACGTCAGCTGCTGCAAGGGGTGGCTGTGCCTTCGTAGGGGTTTGAAGGCCGTTATAGGCTTCAGGATTTCAAGGCCGAGGGCTTAGGATTCTAGATTCTAGAATTCGAGGTTGTTATCCTTCGAGGGCGACTTGAGGTAGGGGTTCGGCTCTTTGACGGTTCTTCTCCGACCGTCCAGAACTTGGGGTTGAGTTTTGCAAGAGGTTTGAGGGCTGAGGCATACGGCCTGGGGCCTGAAGAACTCGACTGGGTTTGAATTTTGGGCAGAAAAAACAATATTGACTGTCCTTATAATAAGGATCCTACTATTTAGGGTACTATATTAGGGTCCCCTGTTTTCTGAAACGTCATGCTACAAAGTCTTCACACTTCCAAGGTGCAGCGCGCAGCTCGCCTGGTTGTCGTCGTAGCGGCAGAGCACGCATTTGAGAGGAATCAGGGGCTCTCCGGCGAGCTTCGTCGCTTTTGTCAGCAGGCGCCGCAGCAACTCCTCGAGCATGTCGTCGCGGCCAGGAAACTGCAGGAACCGGCTTTTCGAAGGGATCCAGCTCGCCGACGAACTGCTGAGAAGATGTTCCAAGGCACCGTCGGGCACTTTGACTTTGAAAGTGGACATGCTTCAGCCGGAAACTCTAGCGATGTGGCGGCGGCGGCGGCCAGGGGTGTGGAAGGCATGGCGTCAAGCCGCGAACTGCGTCCACAACATCGGCACAGCGCCATGCCGTCGGCCGATGGGCTGTGAGACATGCAGCCCAAGACCCCCCAATAGGTTCCGGGGTTTGGGGCTTCTCTTCAGGCTGAGGGTGCTGTTAAGGTGCAAAGGTCTGCGGCTCATGCTTCGGGGTAGCTGAAAGCTTCCTGAGTCGCTTCGAGTTACACGCAAAAGCCAAACCCCAAACCCTTTCTGAAGTC